TTTTGGCGTATCCAACCATAGAAAACAAAATGTAAAACATTCTTTTGTAATTAATAATTTTTTTTAAATGACAAAAATATGAAGTGTTACCAAAATTAACATATTTAGCATATTTCAAGTTGGTAGTGTGGTCACAAAACAAAGGCCACGACTCCACCACCCTATCATCGTCGTCGTTACAACCACCACATTAACACCACCCGTAATGTATTATTTTTAAAGTTACAATTAAATATAAATAAATAATTTTATAAAATTATTTTTTGAAAAATATTTTTTACCAAAATAGATGGAGCATTAAAACATTCATCTTCCTCATCCATGAATTTTGTAGAATGTTATTGTGGAGGGTACAAATCCAAATCTAGCCTAATCGGAGCCATAATATTACACATTTGACCCGCTAACATACATTTTATTAGTTTATTAATTTGTATTATTTTATAATTTTGTGTGATTTTATGTGTTTTCATATATTTTGAGTTTTTGTACATAAATTATTACAAATAATATATTTTAAATATAATTTTACAATATATTTTTTATAATATTATATTATATATTAAAAATAAAATAACAAAATAAAATAAAATAGTTTTTTTTATAAAGAAAAAGAAAGGAAAAAGCAAGTGCCACTCTCCACTTTCTATTTATTTTTATTTATTTTTCAATATATAAGGAACTTCGGTAGGAAAAAAAAAAGAAGAAAGGAAAAATTCTTGATAAATTCATATTCTCACCCTTATAAAGGATAACGGTGGTTCTATGGGAGACACAAAGACATTTGTTGATAAAAAGTTTATACGCTAACAGTTTAAGAAATTTAGGCCTCGTTTGGCAAGAGGCTATTTTAGTCAATTAGTCAAAAAGTTACTAAATTAGTCAAAAAGCCAACAACCTATACCAAAAAGTCAAAGATTCTCTTTTCTCTCTACTTTTTGCACATATTTTCGTAATTAACCAAAAAGTCATCCCAAACATACAAGTTTTTTTTACCTACCTTTTTAGCTAAATAGCCAAAAAGTTACTAAATTAGCTTGTTCCCAAACGAGGCCTTAGTTTCATAAATACTACCTATCTCTTCAATTTTTTAAACTTATCTATCCAAATTATTTTACTATATCTTTCATAATATTTTTAATATATTTGTTCAATTTTTCAACGTATCTATCCAAATTATTTTTATACCTATATGTAGTCTGTAGCATTATCCTTAATTTTCTAGCATTACCCTTTATTTTTGAGAAGTTTTAAATATTTTAGTGAACCCAAAAGCTATTTTTATATTAAAAAAAATATATTTTTATATAAAAATAAAAACAAAGGATGTTTTCAATGCTTCAAAAGTTTCAAAATCTTGGACAGTGGCAGGCCCACATCATACACATTAATCAATTTTTTTTTTGTTACATGTGAATTCCATTCTTATTTAACATACACATTATTAATTAAACCATTAAACACTTACTCATTCTCTAAACTAATAAATATTTCACTTTTCAATAAACATGGAGAGCTCATTAAAAAGGGGCTAAAATCAGAGTCACTAGACCCATACTAGTTCCGTTTGTATCCTACAAGAGAGAAACCAGATTTGAAGAAACTGATAACATGAGAAACATATCTCACTAACATTAGTAACACAAATTGTACAAAGAAGTCAAACAGAGAAAACAAATGATTAAATAAAAATTGAGTGATGATAGTGTACGGGGAGGAAATATTCTTCGCTCTCCGTACTCTTTGCGTCCAAGTTTCGTGTTGCTCCGAACAACGTCGTTCAACCTGAGAACAAAGTGATGGTGAGCTGCCCGGTGGGTGTGATGCCAGAAAGCCCCTCCGATGATCAAATTAGTACCCTTTTAGAGGAGACAAAAGATAGATGGCTCTGATAGCCAAAATTGCAGACCTTTTGTATGGAGGTGCTGCACAGTTTATATACCTCCTGTGCACACCACTCTGCTCTTCTTTCTTTGGACGCGTGGTTGAACTGCCCTCTCTATTCCTTACACGTGTACGCGTCAATACTGCAAAACAATATTGGCCAAAACAGCCAAATGATATTGATGCGTACTATTGGCGGGTTTTCCTCCTAGCATTCCAATTGGGCCATGTAAGCTCCTGCTGTGCTACCCATAACTCGGCGCAAGGCCGTTTACCAACTTCCATCAATCGACTCAGCTCTGAGTTGTCCAATCGGTCAACCGCGGCTCGACAAAATATTGCTCGGTCCATACAGAGGATGGTGTCATTAGCTCGGACCATCCTTAGGTCGGCCCATTCCACATGTAGTTCGGTCATTTGTTCAATGTAAATTCCCATCAATTGCATACATTGCTCGGCCCACACTTCTTGACCGAGCACATACATAGCTCGGCTCATTCTGCTCATTGGATTTCCCCCTCTCAATTACCCTTAATCTCATTTTTTGCAACCTGATTGAGATTATTTTATTCTTGTATAATCTCCATTTCAGCTTAGTTTGTCATCAACCTTTATGATAGCTCGATCAAATTTTATCACTTATTTCCGAGGCCCGCACTGCACTGCTGCACAAATCTTCCTAACTCAAAATTTTCAAAATGTTCTTCGGCTTTCGTGTTGGCCACTTGTCGTGTAGCTCGTCCCTCTATTGACGTAATTTGTTTCATTCTTGCATTTAGTGGAATGGGTGTGGGGCCTAGGCCTTGATTTTTCAATGCTTTAAACAATTTTATAGGGGGAGTTCTTAGTGGGCCAAGCCTTATATCATTATCATGGAATGCATTTTCTTGTTTGAAAATCTTGCTCATGAACAACCAACATATTTTTTAATATGTTAATGTTTGGCGGGTCCCACCATAAGACTTTGGAAACAATCTCTTACTTTAATCAACAGGCATATAGCTTTGAACCATGAATCTTGCCTAAGAAACCGTGCTATTTCATTGGTGACCGAGCTACTTGCTCAATGCTCTCAACTGAGCTACTGGCTTAGCATACCAACTTTTGAAGACCAAACACACAGTTCTTGCTTCAATACTGAGTTAATGGCCTCAACACTTTTTCCTTTAGCTCTAAAGCCGAGCTAGAAATATAGTCATTGCTTAAAAACCGAGCTGCAATCCACGTCGATAACTCTGTGCCTCATAGGTAATTCCATTTTTTTTTTTTTTACCCTGCATCTTTTTGTGCTAGGATCAAGCCATTTTTAGGCCGAGCTAAAGCAAGGACCACGGTATTTGGGCAAATAAGTGGTGGTACAGACCGAGCTAGAGACTTGGCTCCACTATTTTAGAAAACCGAGCTACCCAGCTTTGCTAGAAATAGCACCATAGCTCCGCTTAGTTCTGGTGTCAAGCTATTAATGTTGCCCCTGGTTCATAACCGTACAAAATACCAGGCTGAAATAGCTGACCCAAAATGGGGCTAAAAGTATGGACTTTAAATAAATGTTGTTTGCGCAAGTTGCTTGCCATAGTTCCAATACTTTGAGTTAAAAAATTGTACCCTTTGCTAAAAAACCGAGTCGTAGGAGCTTCGCTAACAACTGAGCTACCATTCCCTTGACAATTGCTTGCTCCATTACCTGGCTAAGTTCTTGCCGAGCTAATACTGCTTCAGTAAGGCATTCATTTGATGAATATAGCAATTTGCATTTAGTCGAGCTAGATTTGCTTCGGTAATAGATTCAACCGGTTGGACAGGCTATCATTTTCCCTCTTATTGCCGAACTAAATCTACCCAAGCAAAAGAACAAACTTTAGTTGGACAAAACACCAATTCTACATCTTGTCGAGTTGATGTAGAGTTAAATTTGCTCTAGCCAAGGAATTCACTTCGTTGGACAAATCACAAACTCTTCATCTTGCCAAGCCCAATTTGCTATAGGCAAAGAATACACTTGGTTGGACAAATCACCAACTCTCCTTTTTGCCGAGCTGAATCTGCTCTAGGCAAGGAATTCACTTAGTTGGACAAATCACCAACTCCCCCTCTTGTCGAGCTGAGTCTGCTCTAGGCAAGGACTAAGTTTCCGTTTGCGGGCTTTATCTGCTTCAACAAAGATCAATTTGCCCTCTTGCCGAGCTTACTTTGCTTCTGCAAGGAATTATAAAGTTTATCAACTCTATTAACAAATCTCTTGCTGAGCAAAATTCACTCGGGAAAGAATTTCAAAATTGATCAAAACCATCAACTAACATTTTGCCGAGCAAAATCCGCTTAGCAAGGAATTCCAAAATTAAACAAAACACCAACTTTCGTCTTGTCGAGCAAAATCAGTTCGACAGCTTGCTTTTTGGCGAACAAAATCATCTCGGCGAGAAATTCTAAAGTTGACGAGCAAAGTCAGCTAGGCAATTTGCTTCATAGTGAGCAAAGTCGTCTCGATAAGACTTTTTGGCGAGCAAAATCATCTCGGCAAGGAATTTTAAAGTTGGCGGGCAAAGTCAGCTAAGCAACTTGCTTCTTGGTGAGCAAAGTCATCTCGTTGATCTTTTGCATCAACAGCTCCATTGTTGTGGGTTGATTCATTGTGAGTGCATTCCTCAGCCTATGTCCGATTGGAAGACCGCACTCGGCAAAATATTGCTCGGTCCATACAGAGGACGGTGTCATTGGCTCGGACTATCCTTAGGTCAGCCCATTCCACATGTAGTCCGGTCCTTTGTTCGGTGTAAATTTCCATCAATTGCACACATAGCTCGGCCGACACTTCTCGACTGAGCACATACATAGCTCGGCCTATTCTGCTCATTGGATTTTCCCCTCCAAGATAGAGACTCCAAAAATTTTACCAAAGTTTCTACCAAATATCTCACATGGGTGTAGGACCCACACAATGTGTGTCTCGTGTGGGTCCCACACCCATGTGAGACATTTAGTAAAATTTTTGAAATATCTAGCATTTTTGATAAAATTTTACAAGAGTTATGGGCAAATAAATTTCAAAAAAATCATGTCTATCATGTAATTTTTGTGCTCGATTCAACTCACCAATTAAATGCCAAAAATTCATATAGCATCCCATGAAACTCATAACTTCTCCACTAGATATAGGCTTTAAAAGTTCCAAATTATACCAAAACAAAGTTCTGAAATTCCAAAATGCATACAACTAACACAAGAAAAACATTCACCCAAAAAGAAGACGAGAAAGACACAAACACAAAAAAAAAAGAAAAGGCTTAAAAGTGAGAAGAACTAGAATTCTGAAGCCAATATTTAGAGCACCTAATCACCGATGGTGATTCTATCCATAATCTGTGCCACAACCTCCTTGGAGTTCTTCAGCAACCTAATACTCTTGTTGAGCCTCTCACGCTTCAATGCAACAGGAGGTGATTCTTCTAGCATCCTTTCAATCCCACCACCATGAGAACCCATGAGCTCATTCACAATCTCAATTTCCATGTTCCGATTCACCAACTCATTAATACTTAACAACAAGTGTAACGCCAAGCTATCAACAAACCTTTTCAAAACTATCTTCCAATAAGCAGTGATTCTCATTTTCATGTCAAAAGCTTGTTCCCTAGTATTTGAATGAAAACGAAGATGCCCAACCTCAATATCCCCAAAACCTTCAATTGTCACCTGCGATGGCTTGGAATTATCATTCATTACCTCCATGAAAGCATTCTGATGAGCCATAAACTTAGCCCATTCTGTCATGTACTCCGGACTGCAGGTATAATCTGTTAGCTTCTCCATCTCAATGATCTCCATCACTCGATCAAAAGATTTCTCCTTCATTTTTGCTATAAGATTATGTGCTGCTCTTCGTGTAGGCAAAAGAAGTTGTGGGTAACAATCACAATGATACAACAAAACACTAATCACCACAGATTCAACGTAATTCCATACTTTTGCCATGAAATCAACTGGAGTATTCGCTATCTCCTTAACTTTCCTCTGCAAAATTATCAGAAAAGCAGTCCGGGGAAGGAAATTGGGCAGCCCAATTCCTTTTGTTTCATCCAAAACCCGAATCTCATCCATCAAAAAGTTCTCAGTGGACTTGTTCACTGCACTCTTTTGAAGTTCTTCAGAGTACTCATTTAACATTTCAGCCAATCTAGCAGTGCAATGCATGTTTTTCTCATCCGGGTACTCATCAAACTCACCCCTTAAACAAATTTTCCTCAGAGACTCCTTTGACAATCCAATAATTCGCATGAACGCTGTCATCGCTTCAGCAACTGAAGACAGATTTTGAGGCATTTTGTTCAATTCAGAAATATTTAAATTCAGCTTGTCATTGATCTTCCTCACAATATCAGGCAAACATTTTGATAAAATGGTGGCTTGAATTCGCACGAGTTTTTGGGCAAGAACAGGTACACCCACCATAGACTTCTCAATCTTGGAAAGAAGTGGATGAGATTGAAAAAGCCTTGCTTCTTCAACCCGAGCATCTTCATAAGACTCATCACCAATTCGATTCCTCACACATACATAACCAAGTCCTATGTTCACATCATCCGCAGTAACTTTCTCAAGCAATCCTTCAGGAGCTCTATCAACCTTTGTCACAACAGCTAGAGTCCTCCCACCGGTCTTGTCAACACGCTGCGACATCCTTATCGACTCGCATGTTGGGAAATCAACTGTTGCAGATAAAACATTCAGAATAATACTCTCCTCTGGTTTAATGTAGTCCATTATGATCCCTGAAATCAGCTCATAGATATCTTCAGGCTGGCCATGAACAGGCACTCTAGTGATTCCAGGAAGGTCCACCATTGTAAGATCAGGAACACCTTTCTTTTTCACAACTAGAGTCAATGGGGTGTGGGAAATCCCCTTCCCATTACCTGCAATCAAGAACCAACACAGGATTTCAATATAGAGTAGCCAACATAAACAATAATAAAAATTCAAAAAAAATAATAATAAATACACTTTTCAGAAAAATACTTTTTAGAAAATTCTACTTTATTATTTTTTGTATTTTTTTGTTTTTACTGAATTTTTTTAATATTTTAAGTAATTTTTTTACTTTTTAGAAATACCTAACATAAATACACCTAAAAAGTTAAAAAATTATAAAAAAATCTTTTAAAAATTCACTTAGTACCAAAAATACAAAAAAATACAAGAATTCAATACATTTTTTTTTATATTTTTATGTATTTATTAATTTTTTAAAATATTTTTTACAAATTTTTTATTTTTTAGATACATCTAACTAAGGTGCATCTAAAAAAGTAAAAAAAAAATGTTTAAAATTTAAAAAATATTACCTAAAAACAAAAGAATACGAAAACAAAAAAACTCAGTTTTTAAAAAACTTAATCCAAAAAACTCAAACCAAATACACTGAATAATAATCACTTTACTTGGTTTCTCTTTTCCAAAAACACTTTTTAAAAAATTTTACTTTCTTATTTTCTGTATTTTTTTGTTTTTACTGAATTTTTTAATATTTTAAGCAATTTTTTTACTTTTTAAACATACCTAACATAAATATACCTAAAAAGTAAAAAAATTGTGAAAAAAACTTTTAAAAATTTAGTAAATACCAAAAATACAAAAAAAAAAATACGAGAATTCAGTACATTTTTTTTGTATTTTTATATATTTATTAATTTTTTAAAATATTTTTTTATAATTTTTGTACTTTTTAGATACATCTAAATAAGATGCATCTAAAAAAGTAAAAAAAATGTTTAAAATTTTAAAAATATTCACTAAAAACAAAAAAAAAACATGAAAATTATAAAACTCAATTTTCAAAAAACTTAATCTAAAAAACTCAAACCAAACACACTGAATAAATTTTAACAACTATCTTGAAAAAAATAATATGGTACATATGAAATAGCATATAAATAAGTTTGTCTATCAAATAAAAAAAAATTATTTATCTTAGGCCTCGTTTGGCAAGAGGCTATTTTAGCCAATTAGCCAAAAAATTACTAAATTAGCCAAAAAGCCAACAACCCATACCAAAAAGTCAAAGATTCTCTTTTCTCTCTACTTTTTGCACATCTTTTCGTAATTAACCAAAAAGTCATCCCAAACATATAAGTTTTTTTTACCTACCTTTTTAGCCAAATAGCCAAAAAGTTACTAAATTAGCCTAAAAGCCAACAACCCATACCAAAAAGTCAAAGATTCTCTTTTCTCTCTACTTTTTGCACATCTTTTATTAAAACATATGTGACGGAACATACATTTGTACAATATATTTTTTAATAGATGTAACCTTCATGAGTGTTCAAAACCTCCTCTGTGTAAGTTAGGCCTTGAAATTAACATTAATTCTGAAAAAATAAAATTTTTATTATATTTTGTTGAATTTTTTTAATTTTATACTATTTAACATCCACTCTCATAAACAAAGAAAGGTAGCCATTTAAAATTTTAAAACTTAGATGAGCCTAGCTAACCACACGAGTTATGTTTGAATTATAAATTTATACAAAATTTCAAAAGCAAAAAGGGCATACAAATTAAATTTTTTCTCTATAATTCAGACATAATGTTAAAATTTTTATATATAAACTAAAAATATTAAAATAGAAACTCATAATTTTAAAATTATAAATACATCCATAATAAAGTGACAACACAATTAAATCTTATATAATTGGATGCATGACAACTCAAAAATAAAAAATATATATATATATATATAAATTTTTAGGTGATCTCAAGACACATTCATGTCCCAACTTAACAATTGGTCGAACCAAATAACCACATAATCACATTAAAATAATATTATATAAATAAAAAATTCATATATAACAATGTCAATCATTATATACTTTTTCATTTAAAAACAAACATAATTAAGAATAAATATATTTATAATGATAAATAATATTAGCACATCATTTTTGTAAATTTTGTATGAATTTTAAATATAAATAAAAAAATTTCATCACATTACAAGTTAAATTAAAAATATAGACATTTAAAAAATAATTCTATCCATACTCACACTTCCAATAAAAATACAAAATGATTACTGGTAAAAAAAAAAAAAGACATTAAACACAATTTTTTCCTACAATCAATGTTTTGAAAATTGGATCGAACCAGCTTGCTCAGTCGGTTGAACCGTTGATAGGTCTATGGTCTTAGTTCAACCACTAAACCGGATGAATCGGCCTGGGTTGAAGCAAACTGGTATGTTTGGTCCAACATTAAAAAAGTTGATACTATAGAGGGACTTGAACCCAACACCTCAAGCTCCAAAGAGTATGAATATTCACTCTACCACCATTGTTCCTTGTTAATACATAGGAAATATATAATATTAATTGTATTCAAACTAATTTCTCTCAAACACGTGTATAATAATATTAGGGTAAATTACACTGACACCTCCTGAAAGTTATGTTTATTACAGTTCCCCCTTCATATTTGAAAAATTACACTGACCCCCTGTTAATTTAATTTTATGGATGATGATCATTACGATGAGGGGGGAACTGTTATAAAACTTTAAATCTCAAGAGGCAATCTGTAATGAAACTTTAAACCTCAGGGAGAGGGATGTAATTTCTAAAATGTGAGGAGAAAACTGTAATAAACATAAATCTCAGGGAGTGTCAATGTAATTTACCTTTAATATTTTTACAAACAATATTAATATAAACATATATGTTTGATAAATATATATATTAAATTATAAAATATTTTAAATGAATATATTTTATTTATTTTTGAATTATAAAAATATTCATTAAATAATTATAACATTATGGTTTGATTCCGATTTAATTCCAATAACTCAGTCACCCGATCTCCTTTTCGATTCATTCATCGGTGCGACTTTTAAAACATTACTACAAACAATCAACAGTAAATAGAAACGTTTTTAATCCACCCGTACCTGCAATCTCATCCGTAGCGATTTTAATGGCTTCGGCGACGTGGGTTTCGTCAGTGGGTACTACTTTTCCATGAAACTCCAAGTGAAGGTCTGGTTGGGGATTTGAATGGTGTTGGAGCCTCATTATGAGTGGGACTCTGGTGCAAATGCCTTGGCCGCGTGGGAGGCTGATTCCGGCGAGGGATTCAAGGACACTGGACTTGCCAGCAGATTGGTCGCCAACGACGACGATGGTGGGGAGTTGAATGCCCTCTTCGGCCACCTTGAGGTGGCGGAGCTTGTCGACGGCGTCGAGGAGTGGTCGAATGCGGTCGTTGTAGGAGGACGTAAGTGGCGGAGCATCTGGAGTTGGAGTAATTGGGTAGTTAGCTGAAACTGAAGATAGAGGTGTTGGGTCTTCAACGGCAAGTGAGAATGATGATAAGCATGGGACGAATTCTAAGGAGGTTTCTTCGACGTCTATGATGTTGGGACTTTGTTGAGAATGGCACGCCATTGTGAGTAAGAGTGAGCGGGGGAGGATGTAGAAGGGGAGTGTGCAGGAGATGTGTTTTATAAGGGTGTGGCATCCGGTACGGAATCATGATTTTAAGCATGTAATTAACAAAATAATAATAATAATAATAAATAATAATAATAAAAAAATAGAGACAATTATAAAAAAAATTCAAGAGTTGAACTTTTTAACAAAATAAATTATGAGTTTTTAATTTTGTTAATTTAAACTTTATTGGTTTCTTTTTAATGTAAATTATTTATCTATTTTTGTTAAATAACACTGACTATTTTAGTTATTACGCTAAATATACATATAATGACTAAAACGTATTTTTCCAATGACTTTAATAACTAAAATATCTATTTTTTTTATCGATTTTATTTAATAAAAATAAGTAAATAGTTTGAAATGAAAACAAATAAAAAATTTAGGATTTAAATTAATAAAATTAAAAATTCATGATTTATTCAATTATAAGGGTCAAATCTTAAGTTTTTTTTTTCTTTTGTAATTTTTTAAAAAATTAAAAATAAAGTATAAACTATATATAAATTAAGATGTTTTCTTATATTAATGTTGAATTACAAAAGATAATAAATTTAAGATAATTTATCAATGTTGTGAGACTAGTTTTTTTTTTCTTCTTATATTTTGTTTGAATTGTTAAATTTTATACTTTGAATTATATGCTTTGTAGTCATGTTTGATTCACAAGACTAATAGTGAAGTATTAATAATCCTATAAAATTAGTGTAGTATTCACTATCCAATTGGATAAATATCCATTGGATTAATAATCCCACCCCTACCCTATTACTAATAATCCTACAAATTTGTTGGATTAATTATCCATTGGATTAATAATCCTAAACTAAAATATTAAAATAAACATAGGATAATTAGGCCCACGGATTAATAATCATAATCACATGCTCTAATCCACCCAATCAAACATGCCCGGTAGGTATAGAGGTTTAGATTGTACAACCACTTGATCTTTTCAAAAGCTAGAAGGGGCAACCATGTTTAATTTAATGGGCCTGTTTCCCTCCAGTTCGCATGGACTGGAGGGTACTGTGGTCACAAAACAATCGTTGTCGTGACAATCACCACGTTAACACCACTAATAACATATTATTTTTAAAGTTACAACTAAATATAAAGAAATAATTTTTTAAAAAATATTTGTTATCAAAACAAATGGAGTGTTAGAACATTCACCTTCCCCTCCTCCATGAATTTTGTAGAATGTTATTGTAGGGTTAGAAACCCAAATCCAACCTAGTCGGAGTCATAATGTTACATATTTGGCCTGCTATCATATATTTTATTAGTTTATTAATTTATATTATTTTATAATTTTATATGTTTTCATGTATTTTGAGTTTTTGTACATAAATTATTACAAATAATACATTTTAAATATAATTTTATAATATTATATTATATATTAAAAATAATATAATATAATAAAATAATGTTATAGAGAAAAAGTAAGAGAAGAAAGGAAAAAGCAAGTGTCATTCTCCACTTACTATTTATTAATTTATTTAATTTTTTAATATATAAGCGCCTTCGGTAGGAAGAAAGAAAAAGAAGAAAGGAAAAATCCTTGATAAATTTATTCTCACCCCTATCTATCGATGGATTCGTTTGGGATGTTGGTTGACTTTTTGATTTTTTAAATTTAAGATTAAAAAGTTTTGTTTGGGATAGATTTTTTGACTTTTTTGATTTTTGTAAAAAAAATAAAATAATTATGATTTGGAGATGACATTTTGGCCCTGTTTGGTAGAGCTGTGGGAAAGTGTTTATACCTTATACCTTAACAGCTTATAGCTTATAACTATGAACATAAGCTGATTTCTGACTTATAAATTAAGCTTCTCCTGCCCCACTCAAAGAATAAGCTGATTTCTGACTTACAAAAAGCTATAAGCTATAAGCTTAAGCTAAACCAAACACATCAAAATAGCTTAAATTAAGCTGAAAGCTGAAATAAGCTGAAAAAAAGCTATACCAAACAGGGCTTTTGTCTTATTGACTTTTTAACTTATTTTTTTATTTTTGTAGCTAAAATAGCCAAAAAACTTTTGACATGCCAAAGGAAGGCTATACATTATATAAGTGAAAAGGGAGTTTTTAACCTATAAGGCCTCTAAAAGCTTAAAATTCTTAAAAAGTAATTTATTAATTTAAATTTAAAATTGACGAAATATAAATTAAAATTATAATGATCTATCCCATAATTTATAAGTTTTAAATACAAATTTAAAATTATCATAATGTTAGTTCAGAATATTTGCTTTATGTTGAGATTATTTATATATTTATATATTTTACAAAGAATGTTTTTAAAAAGAGATATTATGAGAGTTTCAAAACTTCATATAAAATAAATATACCATTATAATTGCAAAACGTTATCGTTTTATTAAAGTTGAGAGCTGCAATTCTTTTTTATTTTATTTTTTTGATTTTGTTTAATTTTTGTTACTATGTGTCACAATATGATTGGTCTATAAATTAATTTTATATTATTAAAATAAAATTTTAAATTTAGATTCTTCCTTAAATTATGTTATCAAAATAATATTAATATTCATTTCTTAATTTATGCATCTTTCGTTAAATTATAAAATAAAATTTAAAATTTAAATTATATTACTACAATTAGAATAAGAACAATATTCACATGTGTCATAATATTATTAGTCTAAACATAATATAAATAAACGTACTCAAATTATGAATCTCTATTAAAAGTTTATAGTTTTATTTTTTTGTCATTTTTAGTTTTAAATTTAATTTTTTTTTTTATATCTTTCTAAACTACAAGGAGTTAAACAATAAATTTTTTAAATACAAATATTTTTTTTTAACAAAAGACAAAAGCATTTAAAAAAAAAAGAATGACTTTTTAAATAATTGCCAAACATGATGGATTCTTTTTTTATTATTATTTTTTTTATCTCAATTGTCAATGAAACAAATTAAAATAAAAAATAAATATTTTTTGCTTAAATAGTTAAGAAGTGACTTTTGCTAAAATTAAATAGAAATAATCATTTTTTTTCTATTAAAAGTGATAGTTGGTGATTTTTTTTTTTTATATAATGAAAAAAGAAAATGGAAGTTACACATGATAATTTGTTAAACAATAAATTTTTTAAATACAAATATTTTTTTTTAACAAAAGACAAAAGCATTTAAAAAAAAAGAATGACTTTTTAAATAATTGCCAAACATGATGGATTCTTTTTTTTTTATTATTTTTTTTATCTCAATTGTCAATGAAACAAATTAAAATAAAAAATAAATATTTTTTGCTTAAATAGTTAAGAAGTGACTTTTGCTAAAATTAAATAGAAATAATCATTTTTTTTCTATTAAAAGTGATAGTTGGTGATTTTTTTTTTTTATATAATGAAAAAAGAAAATGGAAGTTACACATGATAATTTATTGTTCCAGCAATACTACAAACTCATACTTTCACCCACAATAATATAGCAAGGGAGTTGAGTCTCATGTCATTGAGTGTATATCAAATCAAGAGTTGACACATATGATACCACATCATTGTGGATACAATAGTGAGTTTTTTTTTTTATTTCCTTTTTATAGGTCTCAAACATTTTCCTTATTGTTCATCTAGACTTTTTTAGCACTTGTGAAACATGGTAGACCCTGTTATTTTTTTAAAAAATCTCAATTGCCAATTAAACAATTTAAAATAAAAAACGAAAATTTTTTGGCTCAAATTGCTAAAAAGTGACTTTTGCAAAAATAAATAGAAAAAAATATTATTTTTCTAAAAAAGTGATGGTTCATGAAATATCTTTTTGTATTTAGAAAAATGAGGATTATATGTGATAATTTAATAGTTATCTAGAATTATTTTCAAATCAAATGAGAATATTATTTTAAATTTTCTTCTTACTTTTTTTTAAAATTTTTTTACCCAGATACTTTTATTTTGTAAAAAATTTAATTTGTTTATATTTAAATTTTCTATTGTAATTTTCAAATTAAAAATAATTTTTGAACAATCATATTTAAAGTATTTTATGACATTATAAAATGTAATTTTTTTTAAATATCAACTTATTTGATGATTCCTTTCTAAAATGTGTATTTGCTTTTGTTCATTAATATTAAAATTTTAATTAATCTTATTTATCATTAAAAAAATAAATTAGCAAATAATTTTATATATTTATATATATAATTTTTTTTTTGATTGCCCAGGTTATGTGGTGTCTCTGGCCAAATCTATTCAAATTTATTCGAATTTTTAAATTTTACAAGTTCTCACCGAATTAAAATTATGTTACCCAATCTTTAAAAATTTATAGGCTTGATTCAAGTTGTTTGGATTTAACTCGCCCAAATTTAAAACTCTAGCAAAGAGGTTAAAAGTTACATGATTGAAGTTGTGATAAATTAACAATTGATACATAAATTGTGATAAAATTATGAAACTTAAATTTTACTTTTTAATATTTTTTTATTTTCATAATTTACATATAAAAATCTAACTATTTATATTATTTTATATAAATATATTTTATTAATTTTTTCACATTCCATACATTGCACATGTGTTTTATTAGTAAAATGTATGTTAGCGAGCCACTCCGATCAGGTTGGATTTGGATTTCTACCCTCTACAATAACATTTTACAAAAATTAAAAACTCATTTATTTATCTCTATTTTTAAAATTATTTTAAATTTATCTCTATTCCTAAAATTATTCAAATAAATTTCAAATTTATAACTATTCCTAAACTATTTCAAATCTATTTTAAATTTATTTTTATTCCCAAAGTTATATCCAATCAAATTTATCTTTATTATGAAAATTATATTAATTGAACCGATATCTATGATATAGTATGTGGTACATCATATTTTCAAGTTAATTGAATATTTTAAAATGAAATTTTGTAAATAAGTTATTTACAAATTCATATAAAAATTTAAAACAAAATAAATTTTTATTTTGAACTAATATAAATGGGAAATCCTCCCTACCACAAATTGGCCTAACTTAATCACAAAATTTCTTAATATTAATTACAAAAT